GAGAAAAGCGGAGTGCAGATAATGAATCTACCGGAACCTATAAAACACATCGTTTTTAACGATATTCGAGTTGCCCTGTATATCGTGCTGTTAGGAACTGCCGAGATAAGGAAAGTATACACTTGAAAGTTGTATTTGACCAAAACTCACAAGGGTTATCAAAACGTAACAATGCTGAAAACAGTCGCTGAAACACTGCAAATATAGGATCCAGCACACAACTAGGATACCAGAATCAAACACATCACGATCGAATAACCATTTCTTGTTTGTTTCATTTTAACCACCATCAAACATGGGTGAAAATATTTTCTTCAACCCGGCAGTTTACACTCGTATCGTGCGAAAAAGTATATTTCTGCGTTTGTTGTTTGTGTTTATTGATAAATTGTTAATCTTTAATAGTAATTCATAAGGATGACATCTTACACATTTCTAAAACAGTTATTTAGGGTATTAACGTCATTTTGAGTTTGTGTCTAAGTTTGATAACTTCATATGAATGGAAGTTTTCATGAAAGAGTATATATATACTTGACACAGAAATTAAATTAAAAACTTTTAAAATTGTGTATCATCTGAATTACGTTTTCATAGTGTTTCGATACACATTTAGAAATTCGTCCTCTTTAAAACGTCGTATAATACGAAATCGGAAATACCGAATAATCTCAATCTGTTGCTTTAAATATATGTATTTTGTGAATATGTGATTTACAAAAGAACATAAACTGTTGTTTTCTTGGATAAATACCGAATCGAAACAGACTGTGTGAGAGTATTTAATGCAAAGTAATTAAGGCGCAACCACAATGAACAATCTTAAATCGAAATCGTGGAGACCATGCTTCGAGTTGCCCGTAGTACGGGACAAGCGGACTGACGATATTAGATCGATGTCCGATCAGGCGATGAGGATTCTCTCGGATCCATGAAGTTCGATCGTCTTTATCGACATGTTCATTTAAAAGAGGTCGAGTCACACTGTATGTCTATAAATTCAACATGTGCTTTTAATAATTCACAATACACCAAAAACAACAATCAACTGAAACTTTACTGATAAACGAAATAAAATCACATAGATATCTTTGCTTCACAAGAAAACTATTTGATATGATGTTCCTGTTATGTATGAGGGTCAATAGATGAAAAAAACAAAGATTTCCCAGAATTCTACCAAAATAATCTATATTTCCAGTCAGAACAATAATCTGTGTTTCTTCTGACATATCATTCAATCACCAGCTGTTATTATCATTCTTCACTATTGGGAAATGTGAAATACCATACATATTATTTTATAGCCTCTTTTGTTGAATTATTTAGTTATAATAAGTCGTTTTTACTTCGCCAGCCACATTGAACTTTACTACTTTCAAATAAGACATTTTTCAAATTCGAAATATTTGCAGATATATACGATTAAATTTTCGAAACGCTGATCATAAGCTGAAATATTTCCGACTTAATTGCACCTATGAATTAAATATTGATTATAAAATATTGAGTGAAATATTTATTACGTCTGATTTGAGCAATGCGCGAGGAATGTCTTCAAATGAACTCTTTATTTTGCATTTTTTTCAACCCACAATAATTAAATCGTTTGTTAATCATTTTGGACTCTCTCAGCATGGACACAGTTCTCGCCTACTCTACAAGGGAGGTAACTCGTTATTCCTTCAGGAATCGATACTTTTCCTATCATGTCTCGTTTATCGTTTTATCCTCTATAATTGATTCATGCATTGAAATGTCACGGTACTTTGAGTGAACAGTTAATCAATACAAGTGTTCTTATCTCTGATGTTTTGTTTAACATTCGTCTTCAGAATTATGTATTTTTCATTTAGAATGTAAATGACACGAATAGAGAATCATATCATATATCGCACGTGGTCATCGCACATAAACGGCTGTATAACTAGTCGCTAAAAGGCCCTTAGCAGAGTACGAATATTGTCTAGCGTATAATCAATTGCTGTCTATAATTCTAAATCTGAAAAATCAAATTAAAATTGCTAGACGGTTTAATTACACTAATTTTCGTTTAATATCAAACAGATTAATTAACTGAGACATAAATGCGTTATAAATTACTACCGACAAAGGTGAGACACTATATATGTGAGACTGTTTATGTTTAATTTCACGATAGTTCAGTACATACATCGAAACTTCATAGATTTATAGCAAACCCTTCCATGTTTGCTAAGTTTTAACATCTACATCGGTACTCTTTGGATTCACCTTTGAAATACGATAAGATTGACATCTTTTGTTATACATATCTTTCCTTGACATGCCTATCTAAAGTAGAATAGGCCGCTCTTGTGTATTGCTCATCTATTTCCCATTCTGTAAGCATGAATTACGAACCAGATTGTTTTAATTTCTGTTTATATATGCATATCACGTTGCAAATAATCATTAAAAAGTTTTTCAACCGACGAAAATATCTTGAATTTGTGAGAATTTTGATTAAAACTTAAACTGTACAGGAAAACGTTGTAAATATAACTAAGGCAGTTTTAGTTGCTTGAAATAGGTTTGATAATTATTTTTTATATGATCGTTTCATGTTTTGTATGATTACAAAACACATTATAATGAGGTTACCGACCGCGGATGAGTAATTAATCCGAAATATAGTTTACGCTCGTAAATTATGTCTGACTTTAGGTAGCATGGTTTCTGCATGGCATGTTTATTGCGTTACGTTTGTAATTTACAACCGAAAAACTCTTCAAATCCATCAAAACTTTTACTATTTTAATAGTTTGTCACTCGCGTCTGGTTTCTTGTGTCACAGAATTCATATCAGTGTCATTGCAACAGCATTGTGCTCTGTCACGATTTTATATATGAACTTCATAAATTAAAAATCTAATCTATTTCATGTCTATTTCAAAGAAGCTATCTCCACCTTGTCAGGGATACAGCCCAAGGCCTTTGAAGTCTCTCACTGTCAGCTAATAGACAAACATACAATTCTATCTCCTACCCTCGACAACCCTAAAGGCGAGCTCTAAGATCCGCTGCGCTATCTGTAGTCCCTCGTGTGCCATGACGTGGCAAGACCTTATTGGTCGAGCGAATGTATCACTACGCGATGTGAAATGGTCGTGTAAATTAGGTGTCATCTCAGTTGAGTTATTTGACTCCCCTATCAACGGAGGTTTCGATCTCCAAGTGAACTGGCCATCTCTTAGCAACTCGGAGGAGAAATTATTAAGTTCACCCCCGATGATTATAGATTAAAGAAAATTTTGATCCCAGCTCTAAGCTACCGTATCGTGTAAAGCGATATTGATGTAAGGGCCAGAGACTAAATGACATGAAAGAGACGATTAAGATTGGGACAAACTATCTGTTCTCATTTCAAAGATATTTGATTTTCCTGAAGAATAATATCATGATATTTGACATGCACGGATATAAAACACAACTCAATGAAAAAACACGATAAATTGAATTTAGGCAAGTGTAAAGAATAGTTAGTTAAGACATTTTATAAATTCAGATTATTGAAAGACAGCTATTTTAAATCATAAGAAACGCCATGCGATTTATAAAACTCAACAAACAAACAAAGCAAATATGGAACGACCAACGATGACATGATAACACACGATACATATGTGATATGCACGACATATTTCACAATAACTACATGTCTTTGTTGTTTTGAATTACAATCAGAAATAATGTTTTTTGTTAAAAGTGTGTTGCCATTTTAGAAGATATCCCCAAAAACAATTCTATTCGTTTCAATATACGTAACAAAAGATTAAACATTAAATGTAAAATTTGTAATCGAAGAAACTACTTTCTAATATATTTCAATCAATTCTATTTGGTTTCATGCCATTGTTTCCCTGGTAAGACTACTCACACCCAATTTGAGATACATTATCCTTTTTTGTGCGGAGCCCTTGCATTGACATAAGAATGTATTTATATACGTTAACAGGATCTTTACAACGATGACTCAAATATGATGAAACACGATATATTAACAAAGCGTACATGATATACTCATTGTCAAACAGGCTTCTCGACTCGGATTATAATACATCTCAGGGCATTTTGCATTAAACACGCTCACAAAGTCGCAGACGGACATGGGAAGATAAGAAAAGCACGCAGGGATTTCATATTTGTGCGAACAAAATATGAGGAAAACAAGCTTTTTATCAGCAAACCGCCTCTTACGATTTGGAACGGATCGAACATAATGAAAGCAGGACCACAAGCGAGAGCCCGAGTTGTTCAAGACCGTGCTAGATATCGCTTTCTCGTTATCGTTGATATTCTAAAACAGTCTCTCATAGACCTGTTTTGTCGGGAATAATAATTTGGACACCTGCAGATGTATAATCGCATCGGGAACAATGGCCCGTTCGATATATAACATCAAATAGCTATTAATTGCACGAACCCCAAGTTCTATTGGCTTTAAACGCTGCCGTTACCGGAATTCAGGCAAATATATTACCTTATGTGCAATAGTAAGCCGAATAATTGAATATTATTTTCTTTGAAGTAGTTTACTTTGATGCAAACCCAAACTGAAGCCAAGCAAATAATTGGGATATAAGGGATGTGTTTTTGCAATATATGTGCCTAAACTTCATTACAGTGTTATTTGTAGGGGCGGTTTTGTCTTATGTTAGTGAGAAATGTATATATGTATGTTTGAAATATTCTGCACGCGGGTCCTTGTCTGTATGAATGAAATGTTGTTGATACTGATATTGTAACCGTTACGTATGGCACACAATGGTGCAGAGGGAGAGTGAGCGAGAGAGAGAGAGAGGGGGGGGGGGGGGGGGGGGAGTGGGAGGGAAAGAGATAGGGAGAGAGAACGAGAGCGAGAGAGAGAGTGGTGAGAGTATCGTGGTAAATAGCAGAGATGGGTTTATGATTCAGTAAAGAGTAAGAGTGGGGAAGTAAGGGGGGAAGAGGGGGAGGAGAGCGTCAGAGGCAGAGACATAATGAGAGAGTGGGAGAGAATCAGAGCCAGAAGCATAATGAGAGAGAAGGAGAGAGTCAGAGGCAGATACATAATGAAAGAGTGGAAGAGAGTCAGAGCCAGAAGCATAATGAGAGAGAAGGAGAGAGTCAGAGGCAGATACATAATGAAAGAGTGGAAGAGAGTCAGAGCCAGAAGCATAATGAGAGAGAAGGAGAGAGTCAGAGGCAGACACATAATAAGAAAGAGGGAGAGGGTCAGGGACAAAAGCATTATGAGAGAGAAGGAGAGAATCAGAGGCAGGGACATAATAAGAAAGAGGGAGGGCGTCAGGGACAGAAGTATTATGAGAGAGAAGGAGAGAATCAGAGGCAGGGACATAATGAGAGCGTGGGAGAGAGTCAGAGGCAGAGACATTATAAGAGAGAGGGAGGGAGTTAGGGACAGAAGCATAATGAGAGAGAAGAGAGGCAGTGGCAGAGGCATAATGAGAGAGAGAGAAGGGAAGAGAGTCAGAGGCAGAGACATAATGAGAGAGAGGGAGAGAGTCATAGACGGAAGCATCATGAGAGAGACAGAAGAGAGAAAGTCAGAGGCAGAGCCGTAATGAGGGAAAGAGAAGAGAGACATAAACAAAATGAGAGAGGAGTGTCAGAGGCAGAGATATAATGAGAGAGTGGGAGAGAGACAGGCAGAGACATAATAAGAGTGAGGGAGAGCGTCAGGGACAGAAGCATAATAAGAGAGGGGTGGGGCGGGGTGGGGGAGAGGTTTTGGAGAAGGGGAGGTCGACACAAAGAAAAGAGAGTGGTGCTGGGTGTGGGACAGGGAGTAGGATGTTTGACATAACAGAGAGGGGAGTGGTGATGGAGCTGTTAGGACAGACAGGGAGAGGAGAGTGGCGAAGGAGGCAGGACAGACAGAGAGGAGAGTGGAGCAAGTGGTAGGGCAGACACAAAGAGAGGACAGTGGTGCAGTGAGGAGACAGAGGGGTGGGAGGGATGCAGGGGTAGGACAGAGTGACGAGAGCTTTGCATGAACATGGACTGACAGAGTTGATTTTGAAAAAAGCATTTGACAGACAGAGAGATTACAGTGACTTTGAGAGAAGAGAGTGGTGAAGGCGGTAGGACAGATATAGATATGAGAATGCTGAAGGAGGTAGGACAGCCAGAGAGATGAGAGTGGTGCAGGAGGTAAGTCAGGCAGAGAGACGAGAGTGGTGCAGGAGGTAAGACAGGTAGGGAGATGAGAACGATGCGGGTGGTTGGACAGCCAGAGAGATGAGAGTGGTGAAGGAGGTAGGGCAGACAGAGAGATGAGAGTGGTGCAGGAGGTAGGACAGTCAGAGAGATGAGAGTGGTGCAGGTTGTAAGACAGACAGAGAGATGAGAGTGGTGCAGGAGGTAGGACAGTCAGAGAGATGAGAGTGGTAAGGAGGTAGGACAGACAGAGAGATGAGAGTGGTGCAGGAGGTAGGGCAGTCAGAGAGATGAGAGTGGTGCAGGAGGTAGGACAGACAGAGAGATGAGAGTGGTGCAGGAGGTAGGACAGTCAGAGAGATGAGAGTGGTGCAGGTTGTAAGACAGACAGAGAGATGAGAGTGGTGCAGGAGGTAGGACAGTCAGAGAGATGAGAGTGGTGCAGGAGGTAGGACAGCCAGAGAGATGAGAGTGGTGCAGGTTGTAAGACAGACAGAGAGATGAGAGTGGTGAAGGAGGTAGGACAGTCAGAGAGATGAGAGTGGTGAAGGAGGTAGGACAGTCAGAGAGATGAGAGTGGTGTAGGTGTAGGACAGCCAGAGAGATGAGAGTGGTGCAGGTGTAGGACAGCCAGAGAGATGAGAGTGGTGAAGGAGGTAGGACAGTCAGAGAGATGAGAGTGGCGCAGGTGTAGGACAGCCAGAGAGATGAGAGTGGTGCAGGTGTAGGACAGCCAGAGAGATGAGAGTGGTGAAGGAGGTAGGAAAGTCAGAGAGATGAGAGTGGTGAAGGAGATGAGATAGACAGAGACAGATGAGAGTGGAGAAGGAGGTAGGACAGCCAGAGAGATGAGAGTGGTGCAGGTGTTGGACAGCCATAGAGATGAGAGTGGTGAAGTGGTAGGGCAGTCAGAGAGATGAGAGTGGTGAAGTGTAAGGGTAGTCAGAGAGATGAGAGTCGTGAAGGAGGTATGAAAGCCAGAGAGATGAGAGTGGTGCAGGAGGTAGGACAGCCAGAGAGATGAGAGTGGTGAAGGAGGTAGGACAGTCAGAGAGATGAGAGTTGTGCAGGTGTAGGACAACCAGAGAGCTGAGAGTGGTGAAGGAGGTAAGATAGACAGAGAGATGAGAGTGGTGAAGTGGTAGGGCAGTCAGAGAAATGAGAGTGGTGAAATGTAAGGGTAGTCAGAGAGATGAGAGTGGTGAAAGAGGTAGGATAGTCAGAGAGATGAGAGTGGTGCAGGAGGTGGGACAGTCAGAGAGATTAGAGTGGTGAAGTGGTAGGGGAGTCAGAGAGATGAGAGTGGTGCAGGTGTAGGAAAGCCAGGGAGATGAGACCGGTGAATGGGGTAGGAAAGAAAGAGAGATGAGAGTGGTGAAGGAGGTAGGACAGTCAGAGAAGAGAGTGGTGTAGGTGTAGGAAAGCCAGGGAGATGGGCCGGTGAATGGGGTAGGACAGAAAGAGAGATGAGAGTGGTGAAGAAGGTAGGACAGACATAGATCAGAGAATGGTGCAGTGGTAGGTCAGACAGAGAGATGAGAGTGGTGAAGGAGGTGGGACAGACAGGGAGAGGAAAGTGGCGCAGTGGTAGGATGTACAGAGAAATGAGAGTGGCGCAGGATGTAGCACAGATATAGCGAGTCGTACAGTGGTAGGTCAAACATGGATGAGAGTGGTGCAGGAGGTAGGATAGTCAGAGAGATGAGAGTGGTGCAGGAGGTGGGACAGTCAGAGAGATTAGAGTGGTGAAGTGGTAGGGGAGTCAGAGAGATGAGAGTGGTGCAGGTGTAGGAAAGCCAGGGAGATGAGATCGGTGAATGGGGTAGGAAAGAAAGAGAGATGAGAGTGATGAAGGAGGTAGGACAGTCAGAGAAGAGAGTGGTGTAGGTGTAGGAAAGCCAGGGAGATGGGCCGGTGAATGGGGTAGGACAGAAAGAGAGATGAGAGTGGTGAAGAAGGTAGGACAGACATAGATCAGAGAATGGTGCAGTGGTAGGTCAGACAGAGAGATGAGAGTGGTGAAGGAGGTGGGACAGACAGGGAGAGGAAAGTGGCGCAGTGGTAGGATGTACAGAGAGATGAGAGTGGCGCAGGATGTAGCACAGATATAGCGAGTCGTACAGTGGTAGGTCAAACATGGATGAGAGTGGTGCAGGAATAAGGACAGACAGAAATTTGAGAGTAGCCCTTAGAGTATGCTAAAGAGAGAGGAGAGCAGTTGCCGGATGGAAGCTTCTTTAATAAGACGTACCTTTTGAAAAGGTTTTGAATTTCATCTTTGTTTAAATTGAAAAAGTTAACCTTTTCGTATTTTATATATGTGTTAAAACTATAAAATTACTATTCGAAACCTGTATGTTCCATGTAAATATCTTTCATGTCACAATAAAACAATAAAACTCCTATTTTGGCACATACAACAAATGTGGAATTTCAATTTCCATTCATAATGTTATGTAGATCGGGCAGCACAGTAAATATCCGTGTGACCCTGACACTTGCTGTCATTTGTGAGATGAAATGTACAGGTTATACCCGCCTTGCATAATAAACCGATGGCCATCAAAACAGAGCGCGTACGACATCAATGGGCGATGTTAGCAAGGGCTTCACAATCCGTTTGTCCCTCTGTTAGTCCGTTTGTAACTAACAATGCTCCAGAGAGCACTGCACCAGTTCTAGCATTCTTTATGTATTTATTTTACTTTTAATCAGACAGAAACAGTTTTTAAAGAATAAAAAGAGGACAGAAAGGAGGTTTAGCCGTTTTTCTGTAACAGTTGAATGGGGCGGTGTGTAGCTCAGTTGTTAAAGCTTTCGGAAGTTACCCCGAAAGCCCGGGTTTGATTCCCCACATCGGTACAATGTGTAAAAGTCATTTCTGGTGTTGGAGATGTAATATTGCTGGAATATTGAAAAACGCAACTCACCCCCCACACTCTATAACAGTAAAGCTCAATTTATTATGGCAATAAAACCTCTTTTGTATGCCTTTTTTTATCCTGTGTTTCCCTGGTTGAGACAGACATATTAGAACTGAATTACTCTTTGTCACCTTGTACACGGTAGGGAGCGGTCGGGTAGCCTAGAGGTTAAAGCGTTCGCTCGTCACGCCGAAGACCCGGGTTCGATTCCCGACATGGGTACAATGTGTGAAGCCCATTTCTGGTGTCTCCCGCCGTGATATTCCTGGAATATTGTTAAAAACGACGTAAAACCAAACTCACTCATTGTACACGGCAGTATTATTCAGTCAATTGTCTGTTTTGTCTGAATCTCGTGTTGTCGGAAACTTTTACATTGCGGACACTTTTCCGTAACAGTGTAACTGTGGTCATTTTTTTAATATAAATTTGTACTTTTTCAAAAGCCCATAACCCAAAACACGTTTGTTTGATTCAAAATGTTTAAGTGGTGAGTGCTCCCGGGACGGCACGACATACTTACCCGTTTCGGGAACACCCGCTGTCAACTCTGATTTCAATTATCCATTGATATAATTTCCAACACTATTTTGCCCTAAACGACCAATGCGATCCATTTCGGCGGATAATCGAGACTGTATCTTCTCTGGTGCTGACATGTGTTATGTCAATTCATTTTTCGTCAAGTAATTTTCAATTCTTTACACAGTTATGATTTCTTTTTTTTATCTTCGTCAGTGTTTAGTATGAAATTTAAAATTGAGTGCATTAAAGGAACACAAGGTGTTATCACTATTTGTAAAAAAACAATCATGAGATAAGGGACCTCATGGGTGAAAAATCACATTTTAACTTTTTTTTATATTTTAAAACTACAGTATCTTAGGACCACAGAAATACAATTCATTAGCTTTAATTATTCATATCTATTACAGTCATATCAACCATTTGGACTCATTTTCTGCAAAGTCACATTTTCAGATTTATTACTGTTTCTGTAATCATGTAATATATGTAACATATGAAAGTAGACATGACAACTGAAATGCATTGAAACAATGTTTTTATGACATTACGGACTAACGAGAGAAAATACGATATATTTTACAGTCCGCAGACGTAGCGAATTTTACGGAAGAAAGTTGATATTAAACGTCTTTCTTTATGACGTCACAGCACAATTGTATCCTAGCACCCATAAGCTCACACTTGATAGTGAACACATGCTTATGATATAGTTGGAAACGTACAAGGATTTTTTGTACGGAAGCCTTTTAGGGTCATTTGTTTTGTTGGTTTTTTTCTTGAAATTTCAATACTAAGTTGAAATTTCAAGATACTAAGTTGAAAATTTAAGATACTTTGTTGACATTTCAAGATACCAACTTGAAATTTCAAGATGTTATGTTGAAATGTTAAGATGCCAAGTTGAAGTTTTAAGATAATAAGTTGAAATTTCAAATTAGTACCTTGAAATGTCA